TGTTTCTGTTACTTCAAAGGGTGAATTTACTTTCTTCCATTTCCGCTTTTAATTTGCGATTATAAATTTCAAGGAGAATTCACAATTAGTTTTTCTTTGATTGCCAATTTGACTTATGAATCATCCAAATCTTCATCCATATTTTTGAAGGATCCCAGAATTTTTTCCAGATTTTCCAGTATTCTCCGAATATTTCTATCTTGATCCACTGTTGACAGCTTCTTCCGAACCTCGTGTAGCTGACGATTTAGAGAGTCTTTAGATCTCCGAAACTATTTTTTTATGGTCGTCTGATAACTTTCCGATATCAGACCGTGAGTTTTACAATTCAAGCAAGCTAATTTAGATATCTGACGTTCTCGATTTTAGAATAGATTAATTATCTATGGTAGCTTGGAAATTATGGCAAAATTTCGGCTGTTGTGACAATCTCTCCTAAATTGAAGTAGGAAATCTTAATAACTCTTCGTGATTGAAGGTAGACTTTGACAATTGTTGACCTAGCGATTGTGGTCATTGAGTTCTAGGCGTTATAGCATATCTGTAAACTAACATTGTTCAAAGCTTCTTACCTTCTCTCCAAAACATTCAAAAAGCTGGCACTTGTACGTGACTTTATCAGGTGTTTGTTCAAATTGTTCAAATGCATTTGCAGACATATCTTGTCAACTTGATCAATTTTCTGATGCTAGCTGACAGAATAAGTCTTTGATTGCTTTCTTACTAATAATATCACCCTGTTCTGAATTCACTACTTCCTGGTCGGTGCATTAAGATGATTCTGTAATGACTTATGTTTCACAACACGAAATGAACAAATAAGCTTGTGAATCGGAAAAGTATTAAGCAAATTTCATTGAAATTCCCTAAATGGCACAAAACAATTAAACATAAATGCAACTGGTGGCTTTCAAGAAAGAGGTGAACGTCTATATCACACGTCGTCCTTTGCTTTCCCAGCCAGAAAAAAAAAATTCGGGCGCTGTCGAGAAGGTTGTCCCCTCTCCCCAAATTCTATTTTTCTTAAATATATACAAGGACCGAATTTCAGAAAGTTCGCGAACAGTTTCTCTGAGCCTGATTACCTTTACTCTTTGCAGCATTTCCGCTTTGTTATTTGAGATGAAATGGTGACAGGTTACACCTATTTTATGTTGCGCACAAGTTGTGTCAGGTTGGGAAGTGCATTTTTTAATTCTCATACGTGTAGCATCAATAGAGAAACGTGATAAAACTTGTATGTACTCATATTCTCATGAAATCCGCTTTAAGTTAATTACATTCGAATTTCAAGTCTTTTAGATGCATTATGTCACTTTGAATTTGTGGTTTTTTTTTCAGTGAAATTCGCTGAAAGAAAAAATTCACGAATTCCGCGCTTCTGGAGAAGACGACTTATGTAGTACCATCCGATACAGTAATTGTTCCAGGTGGGTTATCATAAATTTTATTGTTTTTCTAAGCTTATATGAAAGTTATGCATTATAACTTTCAGGTTATACGAATCAAAAATATTTCAGGAGTTTCAGAGTTGTATTACTTCGTATTACCATTTTGGTATTCAACAGTAATATTTTTGATCTTTGGACGTTTTCATTTGATGTCCATCTCACTCATCATATCATCGATATTATAACGAGATTTGAGATAGGACAAGTTTTCCTGTCATGATTACGGTACGGTCATCCACATGATGGTATTGAAAATGAAGTTGGAGGGGAAAGTGTATGGCTTTGTGGACATTTTGCTGTAAATGTTATCATATGAGTTTATTTCACTTTTCAGTAATACCAACGAAACCAAGAAAGCCATTTTAGCAGCAATTCAACTTTATCATTTATAATTTTTATAACTTTTATGATTTATAAAGTTATCATTGATTCTTATCACTGTAGTTATTATAACTGTTATCATTGCCTCTTATCACTATAAAAAGGTCTTATTTCTTTGGACCTTCGTTACTCAATATGTGAGCAATAGCAATAGTAGTAGCCAAAGCGGAGTTCGTTCGTTAACCCAAGCAATACAATTCCAAAGCTCTTGTTATCACACTATCATCATCTATAACTTTACACCGATTCCCCATTCATTTTTTGTTCGAGAAAGTAGTAACGAGTGGTAAGTTGCTTTTTTCTAGCCTTATTCCATTTCAACTAATTCGTTTTGTCACAACAATGAAAAAAAAGAGAGAAGTGAAAAACCTGCTAATAAACCAAAATATCCGTACAGAACGTTTAACAGTTATATCAAACTAAAGACTTCTAATTTACTTGGATAAATACAGGGATGATTAAAAGTTTTTGCATGCAATCGAAAACCATTGCAATAAAAAGTCTTGTTGATCTCTTTTGGAAGGCTTGAAAATCAAAAATTAATCTTTCAATACACTTCAGGAACAAGATTTATTCCGCTACAAAACTTACCTACTTGGATAAGAGTGAAGCTTTCTACCAACACATTCCTAAGAAAACACAAATATATCTATCATCAAAAAAAATAGATAAATCGATAAACTTTCCTAAAACGATATCTCTTTCTCTTCCAACTTCTCTTGGTATCAGTTGATCTCAGGCTATGATAATAAAGAAATAGAATTCCAGCTAAGTTATAAGATTAAACATTCAAAGATATCATTAGGTCCGAAGAAACACGCAACATTTTTTCTATCATATATTTTCATGTGATAAGCAAATAGATCAAGCATTTCATTCCACTATTTGTGTGCAACATATTTTTAGCTCAATTTTTGCATAATAATAATAATTATTGCGATGATGTTCAGAGAAAGTTTTTCTTTTTTAATGCCCTGATATAATTGGAGAAACTGAAATATAAAATGATCATATTTCAAATTATATTGTTGATATATTCTTTCATAATTTTCATCATCATTAAAGCACGTTCTATTATTCTTCATGATTCACTTTTTAGCTGTTGATTGTGCTATTCTTTCCAATCGTTTGGAAGATTATCATCTGGAAAAGGCAAGCACTGAAAGGGATCAGTGATAAGAGGGATAAAAAAATGTCTCTATCAAAACAAAAACATTTTTTTGATTGAAAGTTATCATTACTATTATCATCACAACTCTTCTGTTATGCAAACAAGTTATTTACAGCAGGCAGGTTGATGTGAAGTCTCGGCTAGTGACAGCTACACTACTGGAGCAGCGAACAAAAAAAAAAGTGAGGCAAAAAAAGGAGACAAACAGGAAATAGCAGATAGCACAGCACAGCACAACATACACACATAGGTAAAATGGGGCGGTGTTCATTTTGCTGTACTAAATAAACAAGACCACCCATGATTACATGATACTACTCCACCTGCTGTTGCTGTTTTGATGTTTATTACGCAGTTGGCTTGTTTGCTTCATTGTCATTCGTCCCCTCCCTTTCTCCAATCCCTATACTTTTATTGTCTTGTCTTCTTGACATTTTTTTTGTTTCTGTAAGCGTATTACGTGAAACAATCAAATCTATTATTATCAACCATTAAAATAAACATGGGAACCAGTAGATTGATGAAACGTTGACTTGTTGAGCAAATAATACAATGAAAACCAATTGACAACACAAGCTTTTCAATAAACCATCATATCCTTTCTTGACATTAACTAAAAGGTTGGCAGTTTTTTTTTGTTGTCAAATCATGCAAGTATTTTCATTTCATTCAAAGTGAATTTGCTATTGCTACTAACAGATGAAAAAATCATATGAATTAAACGTGTGAATCACTAGATATAATCCTCGTGAAATCACGGGAAGGAGAAGGATCAAAGGATTAGACCAAATAGAATAGTAAAATTTATTTTGAACAAAAATAAATTTTAATAAATTTCGGACTGCTATTATTCCTACTCACTGATTTTGGTTAATGAAATATAGCAAATTCTAATTTTTGTTTATGGAAATGGAATCATGTGTACCTGATGCATATTAGATGAAAAATATATCATCCACTAGATGAGGTATGTGAATTACACGCATACCTCACCTAGTGGATGATATGATATGATATTTAGGGAGAAAAATGTGAGCTATAGACATGTATTTGAGTTGTTACGTATTAGTTGTTATGTTATTATCATTGTTATTGTTGTTGTGCTCTTTATTGGTGATGTCGTCGCGTAATTTGTATGTGGGCGCATGACAGTTGTGAGACATAACACAGAATTATGATAAGTGGGAGAGGAAGCAGAAAAAGAGGAGTAAACAAAATAGGTAATAAGTAACAGTTATTGAGTGAAAAGGAGGCAACGACGACAACAACAACAACATCAAAACAGCAATAACTACTATTATATTACCATCACACAACCAACAATCACTCTCAACCTGTCTGTTTCTGATATCCTAACAAACTTCACGATCTTTAAACACTATATATCACTGCTATCATTGCAAATAAAATTTTTTCAATTTTATGCATAGAATTTGGTATTTCTTCGTTTTTTTGGTGGAGGAGGGGGGATGTATTAATGATCTAAAAGTTATAAAGTGTATTTTTCAGCATATATTGTATAGGTTAATAAAGTTATTCCCTACAATCATTCCGTTATTACTTTTTTTTATGTTCACATACTCTTCCAGTTTTTCCGATACTATTCTTCAGGCACCATCCAATAACCACCATCTTCCCCTTCTCCAACTGTTGGACTTCACATCTGAAATACCGATTCAGGCTTTCCTATTACTTTTATCGTAGCCCTCTGTTTATATTTTCATTTCTTCCTGCCTGCCATCATCTGTCTTAAACGCTTCAGGAAGCATTTGGATCCGAATTTAATCATTTACTCGATTTCTTCCGGAATTTCGTAACATCCATCAACTATCGTTCTAACATCAATAACAACAACAACGTTTGCTAAACTTAGTGATTCATCCCTTATCGTCGTCCAAACGGTTCATTTTCCTTTTTTTCTGCAAAGGACAATATTTTTATTCTAACAGAAACTTAAAAAGAGAAAAGTAAGAAGTAATTATGTTATTTGTTCGGGGATGTTTACGAAGGATTCATCGACAACGATACAAACAAAGATGGGCAGACCTGTGTACACACATGTACCTGGTGTGTATGTGTGCGTGTGTGTGTGTATGTGTGTGTGTATGTGTGTGTGTGT